TCATTGTGTCAGTTAAATTCAGAGTGTAAGTACAAGGCCATGCAACAGAAAAGACACACCAGAGGGAATGGCGTTGAAAACAACAGCATAATTCATCAGTAGATACAAATATTATATTTTTGTAAGAAATACGTAAGTACATAGTAGTTAAGGCCACTTAATATAAAGTGGGGCCAATTTAGCTAATAGGAAACCTAAATTAATTATGTAATATTTTCCGGTATTCTCTTTTGAACAGTCAAACAATCCAAAGAAAGCCTCATTAAAACAAAAAGATAAGTCACTTACAAAATAAGATTGAATAAACACTAAAAAGTGACCAAAAATTTTCTGTGTAGGAGCATTGCCAAAATAAATGAATGAAGTCTTCAGAAGAATGACAAAAACAGCAACTCACTTCAATGTCTGACTTATATTTCCTAAGAAAGACTTTAGTTGGGTAACATTTGTGAATCAACTTAAATGTTATTTCTTTTACTTTATTGGTAAGCAGATATCTATGAGGCAAGGTCCATATTTTCTCCCAAGCTATATTCTCCACAATGCTGTTCCAATAAGGTATTATGTAAGGAATAGTTGTTATCTCTCTGAAAAAGAGCTCTAATTTTATAGTAATTTTTTTGTTGATCTGTAGAAAAGCAAACACTTCCGATCATTGTGTCAGTTAAATTCAGAGTGTAAGTACATGGCCATGGAAGTGTAGTACCTTGCAACAGAAAACACACACCAGAGGGAATGGCATTGAAAACAACAGCATATTCATCAGCAGATACAGGAATATTATATTTCTGTAAGAAATCAGAGTAGTTGTAAAGCCTGCCTTGTGAATTAAGAAGCTGTCCAACTAAAAGAAGATTGTTTTCGAACCAGTTGTCAAAGAAAAGTGATTTATTCTTGTAAAGAATATCCTTATTGTTCCATAAATAATATCTGTGCGGAGAAAAGTTGTGTTTGTATATTAAGGACCAGGCCAAGAGCATCTGCTTATGGAAATTAGAAAGTTTGATAGGGATTTTTAAAACATTATAATTACAAAATAATAGGAAATTCAGGCCACCAACTTTAGAGAAAATATAATTTGGGATAAAATTCCAAAGTGAGGAGGGATTTTTAAGGAAATTCTTGAGTCAATTAATTTTAAAAGTATTATTTAAGGTAGTAAAATCTACTAAATCCAGTCCCCCAAATCCAGTCCCCCGTTTTGTTGGGTTCATTATTACAGATTTCCTAATATAGTGAGTTTTATTTTTCCAAACAAAACTGTTTAACATGCTATCAATTCTTTTTAATGTTCCTTTATCAACCTCCAAGGAAAGAGCAGCATAAGTCAGTCGAGACAATCCTTCGGCTTTTTTCGAACCAGTTGTCAAAGAAAAGTGATTTATTCTTGTAAAGAATATCCTTATTGTTCCATAAATAATATCTGTGCGGAGAAAAGTTGTGTTTGTAAATTAAGGACCAGGCCAAGAGCATCTGCTTATGGAAATTAGAAAGTTTGATAGGGATTTTTAAAACATTATAATAGGAAATTCAGGCCACCAACTTTAGAGAAAATATAATTTGGGATAAAATTCCAAAGTGAGGAGGGATTTTTAAGGAAATTCTTGAGTCAATTAATTTTAAAAATATTATTTAAGGTAGTAAAATCTACTTATATTCTCCACAATGCTATTCCAATAAGGTATTATGTAAGGAATTGTTGTTATCTCTCTCTGTAAAAGAGCTCTAATTTTATAGTTCTTTTTTGTTGATCTGCAGAAAAGCAAACACTTCCGATCATTGTGTCAGTTAAATTCAGAGTGTAAGTACAAGGCCATGCAACAGAAAAGACACACCAGAGGGAATGGCGTTGAAAACAACAGCATATTCATCAGCAGATACAGGAATATTATATTTCTGTAAGAAATCAGAGTAGTTGTAAAGTCTGCCTTGTGAATTAAAAAGCTGTCCAACTAAAAGAAGATTGTTTTCGAACCAGTTGTCAAAGAAAAGTGATTTATTCTTGTAAAGAATATCCTTATTGTTCCATAAATAATATCTGTGCGGAGAAAAGTTGTGTTTGTAAATTAAGGACCAGGCCAAGAGCATCTGCTTATGGAAATTAGAAAGTTTGATAGGGATTTTTAAAACATTATAATTACAAAATAATAGGAAATTCAGGCCACCAACTTTAGAGAAAATATAATTTGGGATAAAATTCCAAAGTGAGGAGGGATTTTTAAGGAAATTCTTAAGCCAATTAATTTTAAAAGTATTATTTAAGGTAGTAAAATCTACAAAATCCAGTCCCCCCTGTTTTGTTGGGTTCATTATTACAGATTTCCTAATATAGTGAGTTTTATTTTTCCAAACAAAATTGTTTAACATGCTATCAATTCTTTTTAATGTTCCTTTATCAACCTCCAAGGAAAGAGCAGCATAAGTCAGTCGAGACAATCCTTCGGCTTTAGAGAGTAAAATTCTTCCTCTTATTGATAAATCTCTCTGCAGCCACGAGTTAAGTTTTCTTTGGGTTTTCACTATAGAGGGTCGAAATTTAGATTACATCTTGTTTTTTGGTCTTTATTAATTAAAATCCCTAAGTATGTAACTTGATCTTTCACAGGAATGTTACAATATAGAGGGAACATGCAGCGTTTGTTTGACATTAACTCACATTTGTTGATATTTAGGCAGAGACCCGAAGCTCTGGAACAGGACTCAATCAATCTTAAAGCTAAAGGGATTTGGGAGGCGGCATTCAGAAATAAAGTAGCGTCGTCAGCCAGCTGGCTAATTATAATTTGTCTATCGTCAGTTGTTATACCTTGTAAATTATTAGTGGAAATATGCAGAGCTAAAAACTGAGAGGCAAGTAAGAATAGATATGGAGATATAGGACAGCCTTGTCTTACTCCACGTGACAAATCGAATCTGGGTGAGGTTCCGAATTTTAACTTAATAACACTATTATTATTATTTCTGCATAATGTCCTGATGGCTTTACAGAAATAATCTCCAAACCCAAATTTGGCAAGAGCTTGAACTATGAACTTGTGCTCAAGCGAATCAAAGGCTAGAAGTCTAAGAAAAGCAAAACTGTCATTAGGAACGAGATTCTCGTAATCTAGAAGATCTAAAACTAATCTTGTATTATTCGAGTCCGGTCTCATGAAAATGCGTATAAATAGTACGCTAAATAAAAAACGAAAACTCGTGGTATTGATACGCAAAAATGGACTTTGGCGTGCATATGATACGCATGTGTTTGGCGTGCATATAATAGGGTGAATTCGGGTAATCTTGTCACAGTCTTCAGCGGGTGTGCCCAGGAGGGTAAAATTATAGTAAAAGTCCTGTTGACTAAATTTTGTTAGAACAGGAAATAAACACACTGGAGTTTAGGTGTCCCAGATTACCCGAATTCACCCTAACAAGTTTTCGCGTACATATGATACGCATCTACCCCACAACCCTAAACCTACCCATCGCGTATCATATGCACGCCAAAGTCCATTTTTGCGTATCAATACCACGAGTTTTCGTTTTTATTTGGCGTACTATTTATAACACATTCATGAGATCGGGTTGATTATTCGTAATGTGACGTTTCTCCATAAAGCCTGATTGTGATTAATCAACAATAGAGTTAAGGACATCTTTAATTCTTCTTGCTAAAACTAAAGCTAAAATTTTGTAATCATTATTTAAGAGGGTGATTGGCCTCCAGTTTTCTAGACACTCTTTATCTTTGTTGGGTTTGGGTATCAGGGTGATGACTCCTTGTTGTCATGGTTGGTGGAAGTGCTTCCAATTCGAGACTTTCTTTGAACACTTAATAAGAAAGGAGATACATTTTTGTCAAACATCTTATACAGTTCAGCGATTAGACCATCACTGCCCGGACATTTATTATTTTTTAAACTCTTAATTGCCTGTAGAATTTCTGATTGAGATATATCGCCGTCACAAGCTTCTTTATCTTAAATAACTTTATTTTGATTGACAGAGTCAAAAAACGAGTTGGCTGAATTATCACAATATATTGATGTATATAAGTTATTATAGAATTTGGAACAATAAGCAGCTATTTCTTTAGGATTATCAAGAACTCTATCATTTGTTCAGAGACGATCAATAGAAACATATAGCATTGGATCTTTCCAACCTAAAGAAATAGGTTCTGTTCTCCTTCTTCCAGCCCTTAGCTTTGGATCTGTACAACTCATCTAATTTATTCTGTAGTTTAGAGTATTCAGTGATTTGAGTATCTGTCAATGGTTCCCTAAATGATAAAGCAGAAAGCTTTAAAAGAACCTCATCTTCAGTTAGGCCTAATCTATTTTGTTTTGCTATAGGCCTATTACTTCCAAATTTTCTTAAGAATTTCCCTAATTCATATTTTAGAAGCTCCCAATTCCGTCCATAAGCTTTTTCTGATTCAGCCCTTTCCCAGTAAGTTTGATTAACTCATCAATCTGCTGTTTGACCTTTTCATATTTAAGAAGAGAATTGTTTAGTTTCCAAAGCGAGGCTTTAGAAGTAGGCTATTAATTGTAGTATTTTGTGATAAATTAATTGAAATAAATGGCATTATGGTCAGTGAGTGGACTGTTGCTAATATTAATAGAGATATTATTATTTATTAGTGTTTTAGAGATCAACTAATAATCGATTCTAGATTGCCTTGAACGGTCTTTGTTACACCAAGTGTACTGTATTACATCCGGGTACATTCCTCTCCATATATCAACCATCAACTACATCAAATGTACCCATAAACGCTATAAGATTTGAGTTTGAAGAAGCTGCTTCCGGAGGGTGTCGATCTAACATGTTATTCATTACTATGTTAAAGTCACCACCTAAAATCAGAAAGGCAGGAGGATATTTGCCTAATGCAGATGAAAGTTTTTGATCTAAGTGCAGTTTCCCGCAGCAGAGTTGTATCCATAGAATGAGCGCGCCTTTATTTTGAATCTACTTTGACTTGGTCGTTCTCCCACCCCGAACCGCCCTTTTGTTGTTATGACTACGAGGTCGTAAATCCGCCATGTTTTCCCTGTTGAAGCGTTGCGACAGAGACGGAGGTCTGGAACGACATGACTGAAGAAAATAATAATACGGCAGCAACAGTTACCGACCAAGCGGAGCATGGCAACATCATCACCATCCAAACCACACTCGGAGACGAAGGTAGAAACAATGGGATGGGACGCAGTCGCGTGGTAAAAACGCGATTAAATGTGTGGGCCTAACTTTGTCTCGTTCAGTCACGCTAACAGAGTCTCCATTAGCCGCAATGTTGTTTTTGACCAGCATGCTAATGCTGCTTAGCATCGATCTGTACTGGATGAAGATCTGACAACACACGTTACTGCTGCAGCAGTCCAAGACTGTTTGATATTAAAACCGCACGGCAGCAGGATTCGGCTGTTTATTCACCTATGGACACCTTTGGCCCTGTGAATTTTCTTTTTTATGTTTATCAACTCTATGAAAACACAATTTCCACAACAAAGTCATTTGCACCTCAAATTAAATATTTTGTTTAATAGCATTCTGTGATGGAAATGACATATTTATGGACTAAATTGTTTTGTCTTTGTAAAAGACCTTTTTTTTGTTTGTGTCCTAAACATGTAATATTTTATTAATAAATGAAAGTTATAGTACAAAAACACACAACAAAATTACTGAAACTTTAACTGAAATCATAATGAAAACAAATATATAAAAATAAAAACTAATCCAAAATGGTAATAAAAACTATAGAATATAAATGTTTAAGTTATATTAATTGTATTATAACATTAAATGACATATGAAGTATATAACTTAATAAATATTAATAATTAACATTTTATTTTACAATTAAAATATTAAAGCGTATTATTTTATAAATGTATTTTTTATATACAAAAAAAAACTTTTGTATGCCACAATTGTGGGAAAATTTATATTATATTCCTGTTTATTGCATTCTTTGTTTCATGTTGCATAGATACTTTTGCAATATGTATGATCCGTTAAACTGAAATGAGATATGCAATATTTTGGTGTTCCCTCTCAGATGAGGATATTCATAAATGCGGGAGATGTCTGGAGGAGTTCTCCGCTCTGGATGCTTTCATCCAACATAAACTCAGCAGGAGCTGCAAGCGTCCTCAGCAGGACCATCAGGTTTGTGTGAAATGATATCCTTCCTCATTTACTGGATACTTTCATATCCAGAGTGATTGACTGTACATATGTATTATTCATCAAAGAATCCTGAAAAAATTGATCATGTTTTCCACACAAATATGAAACAAAAACTTTTTGCATGATTGATAATAAGAAATGTTTCTTGAGCAGCTAATCAGCATATTAGAATGATTTCTGAAGGATCACGTGACACTGAAGACTGGAGTAATGATGCTGAAAATTCAGCTTTAACATCACAGGAATAAATTACATTTTACAGTATATTCAAATAGAAATCAGTTATTTAAAATTTTAATAATATTTCATGATATTTCTGTTTTTACTGTAGTTTTGATCAAATAAATGCATCCCTTGCTGAGCATAAGAGACTTTTTTCAAAGTCATAAATGATCTTACCGACCCCAAACTTTTAAACGGTAGTCTGTGAGCATCATATACTCAAGAAGCTGTACAAAATGTAAGCTAAGGATACATCAGTGCTCATCTGTCTGTCTCCTTCCTCAGACAAATGTTGTCCCTAATGAAGCTGCTTCCATTTATGTGAAATTAAGTGAAAATGATAGTTCATCTGATGAAGCGGGAACGTCGAATGCAGGTACTTCACTTTTGATTTAGTGAAGTCAATAAAATATAACTGTCGTTGTATTGAGGGATTTGAATTGAACATAATTTACCAATCCATCTGTCTTTGGGTACTAAATCAAGTCGCTTGGTTCCTTTAGACAAGGGAGATAAAGCGGCGGCTGGAGGAAAAAAGAGAAGCCTCTCTGCAAGCGAGGATGACAGTTCCAGTCCTGCAAAAGTCGTTTGGAAGTTAAACGCAGAGGGACGGTACATCTGTGAGATATGTGAGAAGACCTTTAAAACGGTACAATATTAGATCATTTTTATGCATTTGAATACTTCTCTTATTTGGGAATATGCAAGCAAAACTCACTTCAGTTGTAAATTTGATCCATTTATTTGTCCCGCAGACAAATATTCTCAGAACCCACATGTTCACGCACACGGACCAGAAGGATTTTAAGTGTGAAATATGCGAGACTGCTTTTAGGACTAAGGGTTCGTTGATCCGGCACAAACGTCGGCACACAGGTAAAACTAAGCTGTGTGTGAAGTGGCGTCTTTGTACTGGACTCTGCTAAGTAGTGAAAGTTATTTAGTGTCTGTGTAAACTTTTATGCACGTCTTTCTAAGTATTATGATATCATTTCCTTTGGCAGATGAGCGTCCATACCGCTGCAATCAGTGTGGACTGGCGTTCAGAGAGTCCGGAGCGCTAACCAGACATCTGAAGTCTCTCACGCCTTGCACTGAGAAGATTCGCTACAGTCAGTGTAAAGAGATACTTGTTAGCAAGGATGGAGTTCAGAAAGGTACGAAGCCTTTCATAATGACCTTTTCAGCGACGGATCTTTTCTTCCATATTGTGATGTACGTCCGAGTGTAATGGATTATAAATGATTGGTGAAGACTGGCATATGTCACCAGAGAGAAGTCTGTTTTGATTTAACATTACAAGGTGAAAAACTGAATGAATACATTTTCCAGAATAAGATCTATAGCATGCATTTAGAAAATAGATGGTGAATTTTCATTTCATGCTGACATTCTTTTTCATGTGGAAACTGTTGTGCGCGTGAGGTTTTCTGATTGTATTGCCGTTGGGTATCGTTCTAGAAGTTCAGCCGTCCCCTCCTGAACCTGAGAAGGAGCAGATTCCTGTCGTGAGAGTTGTGGAAGCTGGTCAGGAGATCATCCAGATCGAGGTGGTAGGACAAGTGCAACAGGTCTGAGACTAACAAAGCTAGTTAATTAATTACAAATATTTTTGGTGCAGAAAAGCATGTTGAATTTCACTATTTCAGTTATTGCATTTTGGGTGCTGCAATTTAACCTATTTTTACATTTAGGCAAGTCTCAACAGTAGGACCAGTAGTTGAGATTTCTTTTTGCTTTGCCAACATTGATAAGATTATATAATTAAAATAATTTAAAACTGATATTTACTTATATTTTTAGAATGTTGAGCTCTGTATGACAATTCAGTTGCATTTTCATGAATCATAACACTTTACAAGGTTCAATGTATTACTTGTATTAGATATCCTTGAACTAACAATGAGAAATACATTTACATCATTTATTAATCCAGTTCTTTATGTATAGATTTCTACATGTACTGTAAATGTTTTAGTATTTCAGGTTGTATGGATTAACAGGTAACACTTTACCATAAGGTTCCATTAGTTAGTGTTAACATTAATTACAGTATTTATTAATCTTTGTTAATGTTAGGTAATGAAAATACAGTTGTACATTGTTAGTTCATGGTAATTCACAGTGCTTTTAACTAATGTTATAAAACGGATAGTTCCGGTCCTTGATTCTGATTGGCTGAGCCACGTTCGAAGCTGTTGTAAATTACTCTACAAACATACACATTTGTTTACGTTTGTGTGTTGCTTGGCAACAACTTTGTTGCAACCACAACCGATTCCGAGGAACTACATTGTTTGGCAGAAGAATAATGTTTTTATTAATATTATTACACTTTATTTGCTCTGTTTTATTTTGTGAAACCTTACTACGTATGTGGAATAACCATTTTATAAAAGCAATAAGCCCCGTGAAGCCATGGTTTACAGCGAATTTATAACAGCTAAGGGGGTTTTAGGCACTTTGCATCGTGCCTAACAACGCCCCTTAGCTGTTATAAATTCACTGTAAACCATGACTTCTTGGGGCTTATTGCTTTATTAACAAGCACAACCTTTGATTTTAATTATGCATTAGTAAATGTTGAAATTAACATTAGCTAAGATTAATATATGCTGTAGAAGTATTGTTCATTCTAACTAAAGTAGTTAACTAATGCTAACTAATGAACTTTATTGTGAAGTGTTACCAGTTAATGTATTATGAGAAAATATAATTCAACAAAGAACAAAAGTATAGTTATAAATGAGCATTTATCTAGATAAATGCTGTAAAAATTGTTGTTCATTGTTAGTTAAGGCTGCCCAAATCATTACTAATGTTATTACCGACAACATCTACTACATTAACAAATGTTAAATAATTAAACCTTATTACGAAGTGTTACATAAATAATATTATTAAAATGGCTAAAAAGCTAAACTAAAAGCTCAGGGCCAAATTTTTTTTAATAGTTTTAACAAAAAGAAAAAAAAAAATTTCTAAGTAACTTTATCTTTCTTTAGTATAAATTAAGATGCTTGGAAAAGTACCAGGACATTTGTTTATATATTCAGAAGTTGTAACTCGTTTATGTATGTAGTTAATGTAGTTCCTCTGTCCGCAACAGGTCGTGTCTCAGCCTCAAACTGCGACTGTGGTTGAAGCCGACAATCTAATCTGCCAGGCCATCATAAACTCTGGCATCGCGCTGGAGACCGAAGCCACAGAGGCAGCCGAGCAGGCAGAGGCCCGGTCACCTAAAGCAGCCCTGCAGGCTCCTGAGACTGACGCCAGACTCACTGAGATCCAGGTGACAGAAGAATGTGTGGAGACCGTGGCCGAGGAAACACAAGTGAGTTTCTTAAATTGTGACGGCATGTTTTATTCCAATAAAACAACAAAATAAACTTCAAACTTTTTTATCCATTCTAGGATTCGTCTGTGAAGGAAGACGAACCCGTTGAGACAAAATTATACAAATGTCCTCACTGTGAACGCATGTTCAAGACGTTGACCTACCTGAGGGTCCATGTCAAAGGGCATGTTGGTAAGCCCCATTCAAATCAGTTTATTCATTAACAATATGGAATAGCTGTGTAACAGCCGAGTCTCTGAATATTTTTTTCTTTCGCAGGTTACAAGCCGTTTAAGTGCTTAACATGTCAGAAGGAGTTCCTGACGGGCTACGTGCTGAAGAAACACATGGAGACACACGTCAGCGAGCGGCGCTACAAATGCGGAGAGTGCGGCAAACAGTTTAAAGCCATCGGACACGTGCGGGAACACATGAGAGCGCATTCAGACGAGAGGCCGTACCACTGCAGCTTCTGTGACAAGAGCTACAAGACCAAGGTGAGGTCAATATGTCCTTAGGTTTTACATTGTCATCTTTAAAGCATGGTCTGTCGTGTTCCAGAATGCTCTGCAGGTCCACCATCGCACTCATGGCGAGGAAAAGCCTTACGTGTGTCCGCACTGCTCCCGTGGCTTCCGGGAAAAGAGCGCTTTGGTGCGGCACATCCGGCATCACACGGGAGAAAAGCCCTTCAGGTGCTCCAACTGTGGCCGGGGCTTTGCTGAACATGGAACGCTCAACCGTCACCTGCGAGCTAAAGGTTTATAAACATCTATCACTAAAATGATTAATTAATTAATCATTCAAATAATTAAAACACATTTATACTGAAGTGAATGTTAGAAAACAACTAGTACACATAAGTATAATGTGTTTTCTGGCATATTAAAAGGCCTAAATATACGCTGTAAAACAGATTCTCTATATGAATATCGTATAGAGAATATTGATATCATAAAGTGTTTTTTATTGCTATTTTGCATTGAATTGAACTCATTTTTAAGCATCTCTTGAAAAATCTGTCTATTGGTAAAAAAAAAAAAGAACCATAAACCAGTTTTATTTCAGTACGATTTATATAGTTTTTGTTAATATTTTGAATTCGATTTCATTTGTATACTTTCTATTTTCACTTTAATTTTAGTAATAGTTTTCTTAAGAATGTCTATATAGTATGTATTTTTTTTATTAGTTATAATTTATTTAGTTTTAGTTATTAACTTCAGTTGTAGTTATATTACAGTGCTTCAACTTAAGTTAAGGAAAATGAGAAATGTTGCCTTGGCTACTAGCTGAAATAAAATAAGTGTAAGTTTTTTAATATTTTATTTCCGTTAATGTTTATTTTATTGCAAATAACTATAATGTACATTTATGCATTTTTTTTTTTACATTTATTTAGAAGACGCTTTTATCAAAAGCAACTTACAGTCTGAAGGATCATGTGACACTGAAGACTGGAGTAATGTTGCTGAAAATACAGCTTTGCATCTCAGGAATAGATTACATTTTAAAATATACAAATAGAAAACTTATTTTAAATGAAAGTAATATTTTACAATATTACCGTTTTTACTGTGTTTTTGATCCAATAAATGCAGCCTTGGTGAGCATAATAATTTTTTTTTTTTTCGAAAACATTAAAAAATCTAGCTAAACTTATACATAACTTATATATACCTGCATTTCAGTTGGCCCTGTACTTGTACTCTGCACAATGACAATAAAGTTGAATCTAATCTAATATAAGTGTATACATAATTGAAGACACTCGAGAGAGACTCTAAGCTATTTTTAGACATCATGAATTCTTACAGTTGTCACTTGTAATGACTGTATATGTGTTTGTGTGGTCAGGGGGCTGTTTTGCTGTGCAGCTGAAGGACTCTGAACACGCAGGGAGCTCTGAGGAGCAGGAGCTGGCGGCTGAGATCGTATCGGACGATCCTCATGCTGTGCTGGTGGAGTTCTCCTCAGTAGTGGCCGACACTCAGGAATACATCATAGGGGTAAACATCACGTGTGTTACGTATACTTATGTGACTTGATGTGCCAGGGTGGCCATTATATTGCTTATGTGTGTATATAAAATTAGATGAAAATTAATATATGAACAACATAAAAATTGATTATAATTAATAATGATGAAAATCCAACCAGTTTTATGTGACTTTTTGTTTTAATTAAATTGAATTCATTTTCTTATATTAAATTTCATATCATTACATGCATATATCAGCAATATTTTTGATTTTCACTACCTTTCACTACTTGTTTTTTATATGAAAAAGTTTGGAGTCAGTAAGATTTTTTTCTTGTTTTTGAAATAAGTCTCTTATACTCACCAAAGCTGCATGTATTTGCTCAGGAATACAGTAAAAACAGTGATATTGGGAAATTTTATTACGATTTAAAATAAATGTTTTGTATTTCAGTATATTTAAAAACTTAATTTATTCCTGTGATGCAAAGCTGTATTTTCAGCATCATTACTTCATTCTTCAGTGTCACATGATCCTTCAGAAATCATTCTGATATGCTGATTTGCTGCTCTAGAAACATTTAATATTATTATCAATAATATTAAATCGTGCTGCTTAATATAATTGTGGAAACCGGGATTTTAAATATTTTACAATTTTATTTTGTAACTTTTACTGTCACTTTTGATCAGCTTAATGCATTCTTGCTAAATAATTTTTTATTTTTTTTAAAGTCATACTGACACCAAACTTTCAAATGGTAGTGTATATTTAATAATATTCTATTTTGTAATAGATAATATGGATGGCCTAAAGTTTTTTAAAAATATGATAAAGATAGCTGTTGCAATATAGTGATTATAATATTTTTTAAAATACAGATTTTATGTTTGATTTTTTTTTTCCAGACACCATCTGAGGAAGCAACTCAAGGGGAAGAAGTAATAATCCAAGATAATCAGCAGCAGGTTAATTTCAAATTTTTCCCTCAAGTCAATGTCAACTTGAAGCAAATATTAGCAAGATGAAAAAGGACAGTTTGTCAGCCAAATGGAGTAACCATATTGCTCGGTGTGTCTGACTTCAGATGGACAGTCACATCATGAAGGTGGTGCAGCAGATCGTCAGCCAATCACACGGAGGCCACCAGATCATTGTGCGTAACGTGGCCGCAGATGAGACCCCAGGCATCTCAGATTGTGGAGACACCATCACCATCGCCACACCTGAGAGCTTGACCGAGCAGGTGGCAATGACACTCGCAAATGCCTTAAGTGACGGCACCATCCTCACGACGACAACAGAGGATGCCATGGAGACACCCCACACCACAGTTACCATGGTAACAGCTGAGAACGTTGAGACAATCGAGCAAGAGGAGCAGTATGTCATTGCTTCACCCGACGAAATGGAAATTCAGACTGTGGTAGTGGTCTAAGATGCAGGTTTTGTTAATTTAATATGTTTTGTTTGTTACATGAACAGCCGTGGTGTAGCATGCCAGTTCTCTGGGAGGCCTTAATCAACATGTTTTGCACTGCAAGATGGATTCATAACTTTTGCTTATGGAAACTTTCAGAAGGTTGTGTTGCAGCTGCAACAAGCTGCAGGTTATATTTATGAACTAATTCCATTTTCAGTAGATGGTAAAACCATGTTTTTTCTATTTGTTTAATGTGACGCTGCCATATCAGGTTTTCTCTCTGATGCATGGCATATAATCATATACGACTATCATCTGCTCATGAATATATAACATAACATGTTGCCCCCAATAACAGGGCCCATAAAACACCTGGCAGGGAACGAAAGTACAAAACATTAAATATATTTTTATGTGCCTGTGTATTTTTTCATTCATTGATCAGTTCTCATTTGTGCATATTTAGTAATGCATAAGTCATCTAAGGAATATTCTGGGCTCAAAAAGCACGGTAAGTGTTATTGACTGCAACTGTCAATATTTTGTCCCTCAGTTTGTAAAAACACAAAAATCAAATGGAAGTCTATGGAGCAAGGCTTTCTGGAGGGTTTAAGAGCAGATAAATATGTGCTAGATATAAAAATATAGATATGCTTTTTCAGCAGGACCTTTAATGAACTTCCATTTATAACTTACTGACATAATACCTGCACATTGTTGATGCCTTTCTGCTATTTCAATGTTTACAATCCTAACAGGAGTTGAACATTGGTATATCATTTTGCCCATTGAGGTTAGTAAGCATTTTTTGATCACCATGGTGATCATATTACCATGTATAATTCACCGTTTAATAGGGCTGGATAAAAATATCGATATCTCCATTTCAATCGATTCTCATTTTTACGGAACGATATCGATTCTTAAATCGATTATTCTAGTCTGATTTCAGTTAATGGACGGAACATTGAAGGGTACCTCCCATACAATAGCAATAAGCATTGTGCTTTGGTTCTTTTAATATGAAACAAAGTCTCAGATTTCAAATTCTGTCCATTGTATTGCAGTATTCAAACAATAAATGCCGTTTTGGCGCTGTTTAATGTGGAGTGACAAGTGACGGATTGCCCCTTGGTCAACAGACGCAGCAGCGCGAGGCGTACGTGAACTAATCTCCATATTAATACCAGTTTCAGCACAAAATAAACATGACTAAACATCCGAAGGTAAGTTAAAAGAAAGTATAATTTATCAATCCGTAGCCTGTCTCATGTAATCGCTCAATCAGTGTTTCAGCCGTGCAAAGACGTCAATATAACGTCTTGTAAACAATGTCACATAACATCACATTTACCTCAGGAAAAACATATTCGGTGACCATAACTCATTAGATAGAAAAATAAACTGTAGAGAGGGGCATTTTACTAAATATATGCACCATATAACATATACATTATAATTTTTTACTGTTCTTCAATGTTTCATTTATTTTTGAATAAATCCATCAAGTTTTTATGACAGCCACCATTTAAATGTTTATATTTAAAAAAAACGAATTGAAGTAGAAATATTATGTAATTGTAACTTTATTATTTTAAAAACTTCATTAAGTGTAATTTTAGCAGTTGTACTACAAATCAGTCAATTTCAACCTTCAATATTATAGTAATGTAGTACCAACTGACTCTGTATATTTTACAGCATTAGTTGAGAGATTTTTTTTTCCTTGAGATAATTTGACATGTACTGTACCTGATATGTATCCAAAATATTCGATATCGAATCGAATCGGTAATCGAATCGAATCGCAAGCTTGTGAATGAAAATCGAATCGAATCGTGAATTTTGTGTCAAAACCCAGCCCTACCGTTTAATAAGCGGCTGTCCATTCCAAGGTGTATTTGAATGTTTATGACCATTGTAAGTGCCTAACAGTAGATTTTTGCTTATTTAAACAAACTGAGTGACTATATGGACAGAATACTGTCCACATATCTTCTAAAGCTGAAGTGTCATTTTTTCGGTGTTTAGATGATTTTTGATGTTTCTTTTCCAGTGCAGATGCAGAGGGAAATTAGTAAACACTGTGGCTTTGTGATGCTTACAAAACATTGCTTTATTTGTTTGACCAGCTGGACACAGCATTATTGGCAGTGACTTGAGTTTGGGGCGGGACAGACTGTTTGATTGACCAGTGGAAGATGTTTGCTAGTTGAGCAGAAATGACACAATTCAGTTCTAAACATACATCTCTGTAGTCCTAAAATCCAATGTTGTGAACTACGTTTTTTCAAACTTAGTACATTAACATTGAAAAGTCTTACTATGTTTGCGAGAAGTCTCTTAATGCTCACCATGGCTGCATTCATTTGATCAAAAATACAGTAAAAACAGTCATATGAAATGAAAAAAAGTAATATTTAAATTATTACAATTTAAAATAACTGCTTTCTATTTTAATATATTTTAAAATGTCATTTATTCCTGCAGCCATTACTCCAGTCTTCAGTGTCACATGATCCTTCAGAAATCATTCTAATATGCTGATTTTTTCCCCCAGGATTTCAAGATTGAACTTGTGATTGATGCACTTTGTGTTTCAGTCTGCAAGCCCGCATGGCTTAAATTGTCTTTAGATGTGGTGATGCAAGCATGAGGTTGGTGTATTTTTCTATATCCAGATAGATTGAGGCGGGAGACGCATCATTCTGGCAGATCGGGGGCATATTGAAGCTCTGGTCACCTTCACTATCTGTTCTCCCTCCCATCACCGCACATGCTGGAGTGCTTTGCCCCTTCAGGCCTTCACATATGCCCATATATAATTAAATTTTTTCTTTTATTTCCAGCTATAATTGAATCCCTGACCTGACTTGCAAATGATCCATTGAAAAACAGTTGTACCCTCTGGTTTGACATGTTTCAGAGTGATATTAAATAGGATTATCGACGGTCATCTTGTAGTATCCAGTGCCTTTTAAGACACTGTTTTGTTTTTGCATTGTTAACTCTTCATTATAGCCAGCAAAAGCATTATAACCCAATTATATCCCCCAAATCAAAAGAAATACAAGAAAGATATTTTGCATAAAAAATGAGGACATTAGGACCTTTATTTATTTATTTTGACAATTAAGCTCATTTTCTTGTAAAAAAAATATTTTCATTATTTTATTGCCTTAATTTTTTTTGTTTTATAGTTTAAATTATTTTATTTTACTTTTCAATTTTAGTTTTGTTATTTGTTTTATTTTTGTTTATAAAAAATTTATATACTTTTTTGTATTTAAAATTTGAATACAAAGTTTATTTTTTTTATTTTAGTTTTTTTGTTTGAATTTAAATTATTTTTGTTGTTTCAAAACTAATTTGTTTTTGTTTTATTTACATTTTATATATTTTGGTTTTTAGTTTTTGTATTTAAAATCATTTTGTTTTACTTTTATTTTTATTTAGTTATACTTAGTTTTGTTTTAGGTATTTTTTTTATTTATTTAATTTTGATGTTTTGTTTTGTGACCAAATTGTTTTTTACACATTTTGGGAGATTCACCCTTTTATTCAAAGTTATTTATTTACAGGGAAGTAAACAAAGTACTTTATTTACTTCCATATGTGACCCTGGACCACAAAACCAGTCTTAAGTCGCTTGGGTATATTTGTAGCAATAGCCAAAAAAACATTGTATAGGTCAAAATTATCGATTTTTCTTTTATGCCAAAAATCATTTGGATATTAAGTAAAGATCATGTTCCATGAAGATATTTTGTAAATTTCTTACCGTAAACATATCAAAACTTATTTTTTGATTAGTAATATGCATTGCTAAGAACTTCATTTGGACAACTTTAAAGGCGATTTTCTCAATATTTAGATTTTTTTTGCACCCTCAGATTCCAGATTTTCAAATAGTTGTATCTCGGCCAAATATTGTCCTATCCTAACAGACCATACATCAATGGAAAGCTTATTTATTCAGATATATAGATGGTATAAATCTCAATTTCAAAAAATTTACCCTTATGACTGGTTTTGTGGTCCAGGGTCACATATACCATAACCTAAGTGTAAGGGCACAGTTGGGTTGCTTTTTCTCTGCAGAGGTCAAACCAGCAACCTTCTGACTACCAGCCCTGAGCGCCACAGATCTCCTCATTACTTTCTGACGTCATGCTGTAAATGCTATTAATATCATATTAAATCATACCCATCACTGCGGTGTTGGAGGTTAACCATTCCTGCTGTTCTGAGACTGTGCTTGAATAAGGAACAGTTGGAAGAATGATACCGGATCAGATTCTTAGAAGGGGAGTTGGAGTTAAATGTACCAGACTACATCTAACTGTACCACAGCATCTCTGAGGATCTGTAATCGGAGCGCCGTCCTTTGCTGCTCTGACAGGCAGTTTCTGGGTCACTCCTCAGCCCTGAGAGAGGGCCCAATCCACCAGCATCACAGAGAGAGAGAGGGGGAGAGGGAGAGGGAGGTATTTATAGAAAAATGGGGCTTCACTGTACCTTTTTCTTGCAAAAGAATCATTAAAAGACCCAGCTAGCTTGTCCCAGATTTCTGCTCCGTGCTCTGCAAGACAGTTTGAACTGGACTTACTTATTGGAGATGTAGAGCCATGGCTGCAGAGAGCTTGACAGCGCTCTCTCGATCTACACTGGACTGATATCCTCATCAGAGGATCCTCGATGGAGGCTAAACCTGCCGGATTGATTGCTTTTGGTAATGATGGAGCAGTGACTTGTTGAGGAGGGTGATGAGGTGCTGACCTGACGTGACCTCTTACAGCTTGACTTCCACACAGGAGACCCAGAAACCATGATGAGAAGATTTTTGAAGAGCCAGAAGGGTCGTTTCTCTCTTCGCCAAAGCCGATCGGGATCCCGCAGTGCCTCCAAAGATTTCTGTAAGTTCATAAAGCAGAACATGGAGCTCTGTGAGGTGGTAAATGAGAAAAATAGGCTTATATTTTCTGTTCATTTTATTAAAGAACGTATATTTTGGAGATGGAGATAGAGAGTGTGTGTGTGTATATATATATATATATATACTGTACATACATAGACACACTATCCGTCTCTCTTGCTCTCTCTCTCTCTATATACATAAATTAATATGTTTCTTCAATTCCACAGACCCAAACCCTAACGTGCTGAGAGATTTCCCACTGAATATTGGTGCGTAATTGCTTGACCGTTTTTTTCGCCCGTCTGTTTTTAGGTCACAAATTCAATTACAACAACTACAGTATGCTATATGATGAAGTGCTGCAAACGTAATGCGTGAACTGTTCTCTGTCTGATATTTTGTAAATGCAAGGGAGTAGATTTGGTTTTAATAGAAATGGGGATTCTGAAAGTCTTCCCATTTATTTTATTTTACTTTATTTTAAGTAAGTAAACAAATATAGCAAGAAGATTTCATTAAATACATTTTTATTTTATAAAGGCTAAATTAAGTTGAATAAAGACTACTTGCCACTTATCTCTCATGTATTGGCTTTTTCCAGAACTGGCCCTTCCAGCAAATAACCAGGGTTGGCCAGAGGACTTTGGCTTTAAGCTGGGTGGAGATGGACCCAGTTACATCCTCTCTGTGGTGGAGGGCAGCAGCGCTTACATGGCCGGACTGCAGCCAGGCGACCAGGTTCTGGAGATCGATGGGCAGAACGTCTCGTCCCTCAGCACCAAAGCCCTCATTGCTCTGGCTCAGACCCTCAAGACTGTGCCGCCCAGCATTGGCGTTGTGTCTAGAATTGAACAGGCCAGTTTTTCTTCACTGACGTGCCATATATTGTCAACAAAACAGTAACAAAACTGACCTAAATTTGGTTTAATTTGGCGTAATTCAAGAGAAAAAAGCAGTTCATATGGTTGATTATTAAATAGAAAAGCGAGTTCTTAACAAATGTCCAAAATCGCCTCCATATTATCTCTCTATATAAATACAGTTGCCTTAAAAAGTATTTGGACACTTAAGTCAAGCAAAAAATGTATGAATGGCATTGCAACAAAAAATTGTTTTCCTCAAAATAAAAAAATAAATAAAGTAATTTTGAGTTAAGATGTTTTAGGTTTTTGAAGTCTCTTATTCAGTAATATTGTGAAAATATTATTACAATTTAAAATATAATTGTATATATAATTGTTTTCTATTTGCATATATTTTAAAATGCATTATATATTATGCATATAATAAATGCACAGTAATTTATTCCTGTGATTTTAAAGCTGAATTTTCAGCATCATTACTCCAGTCTTCAGAATCACATGATCCACAGAATCATTCTAATATGCTGATTTGCAGTGTTGAAAATAGTTGTGCTTCTTAATATTTTTACGGAAATATTTTTTTTTAGTAATAACATTTTATGGAAAATACATTTGATGAATAGATAGCTCAAAAGAACAGCATTTACTTGAAATAGAAATATTTTGTAATATAAAAGTCTCTTGATAAATATACTTTTAAACAGTAGCGTAGATATATAAAATAATAATTTAAAAAATAACATTATATATAATATCATTATAATATGTACACTGCCGTTCAAAAGTTTGGGATCAGTAAGACTTGTAATGTTTTTTTTAAAGAAGTCTCTTATGCTCATCAAGGCTGCATTTATTTAATCAAAAATTCAGACAAAAACAGTAATCTTGCAAAATGTTATTACATGATTTCTGAAGATCATGTGACACTGAAGACTGGAGTAATGATGCTGAAAATTCAGGTTTGCATCACAGGAATAAATTACATTTAAATTTATATTAAAATAGAAAAACGTTATTTTACATCATAATAATATTTCACAATATTAAAGTTGTTCCTGTATTTTTGATCAAATAAATGCAGCCTTGATGAGCATAAGAAACTCCTGTAAAAAAACATTAAAAATCATTCTGATCCCAAACTTTTGACCAGTAGTATATATATAAAGTCAAGTTACCCTTGTTCTGTTAAAGAAAATTCAGATCTCTCCTAATTTTCCTTTGCTTCTGTAGCGCAAACCAGTGTCACTCACCCTTATCCACTTTACCACCACAGATGGACATTGCCCCGGGGCCTGATGGTCGTTTTGGCTTTACTATAGTGGGAGACAGTCCCCTGCTGGTGGAGGACTGCATGCTCAACTCTCCAGCCGGCCGGAGTGGACTGCGAGCAGGTGACTATGTGATGGAGGTGAATGGGATTCCAGTGAAACAGCACGAGACGGCGGCGGCCATGATCAAGGCCTCTCAGGGACGTACGCTGCGTCTGGGTGTGCTGCGGATCAACCGCTGGCAGAAACGCAGCAGCAGCAGCATGAAAGAGACCTATCAGAGCGGAGACATGTTGAGGCAGGACCGCAAGCACAAAGCTCTGGAGTTCAACAAGAAGGTCAGTCTCAAGGGGCATGGAAAAATTGGGTCACGCTTTAGTTTGGACACCAGTTCTCACTATTAACTATGACTTTTGCCTCAATAAACTCCCTATTTGCTGCTTATTAATAGTTAGTAAGGTAGTTGCAATGTTTAGGTATGGGGTCGTATTGAGTATCTAAAATATGGTCATGCAGATTAAGACATAAATTTGTGCTTTATTAGTGCTAATAAACAGCCAATATGCTAGTAATATGCATGCAAATCAGCAACTAGTTAATAGTGCGAATTGGTCCCTAAACTAAAGTGTTAACAAAAATTGTTAAACTGTTACTCAAACCTCGAAAAGTTAGTTTGGGCTGGTTAAACATCACACAATATTTTTCACTGGCACTTTCAAACTCCAGTGTTGGCGAAGTTAAAATGGTCTGTTTTGAATTTTTATAGGTTGAGGAGATTTTAGGGGAGGAGCCTGAGGTGAAAGAGAGGCTGTTTGATTTGCTGAAGCAGTATGCAAATGAGAGGGATGTTGAAGGTCTGGCGTCTACACTTCCAGAAATACTGCTCACCGAGGAACACCAGCAACTGATTGACAGCATCAGGTATCAATGAGCTTTCATAAGTCAAATTACATGACCCGCCTCCCTATTATTAATTTATTTATTTATAAAGCAGCTTTATGAACATAAATTTGCCATGTCATTACAGGCGGCCATCTTTAATGAGCTGGCTATTCCCTCCCATCCTTCTTTAAAAACTCTTTATGCTTTAAAAGATTAGGGCGACTATATCTGTCTTTTTAGTTAGTTTCAACATGCTTATAGCTTAAAATACAAAAATTCTTTGCATATTTTTCATCAATAACTTTTATAATAACTATGATCTATGAAGTATTTAATCATTCCCTTTAATCATTAACAATTAGATGACAGATTTAGAAAAATAAAATTAGATTTTAATATTGTTAGATTATTTCTTTATTTTTACGTAATTATTATTATTAGATTTAATATTATTATATTTTGTGAAAGTATACACTATAAGAAGTCTCCCGCTCATAGGTTTGCAGGTGTCAGTTCTCTCTCTCGCTGATGAGGGTCTTTGTCAGGAGAATTTGATGCGTCTCATAGCTGAAATGTGTTCAGTTATACTGACGGAGCAGTTTTAACAGCAGCCGCCTCTCGCTACCAGTGAGGAATTATATCCGTGAGGTTTACTGCATAAAATATTGTTTATCAAATATGCATGCTATTTTTTGAAGTTATATGCTTGAAAACTCTGAATATGGGACCACTTTTAAATCACCCTTACCGCCATGAGGAGTGAATTATGAAGAAGAACAGCCTGCTCCAGATACCTAGATTTACACTTTTCATCAGCTTGTTCTGATTAACCCTTGATAGCCTGTCCTTGTATTATCGGGAACCATGAATGCCTTCTTTAGCAAGTAAGAAAAGTGTTTTGTACTTGCACAAAGCTTTGATTTTTCTGTCATTTTACATTGTTCAGAGACAAGTTGCTTTTTATGGGATGTTTGTTGCATGTCTTCAGAATTCTTTATGGGAGGTTTAAGCAGCAGACTATTGGTGATGGTGTCAGTTTTGAATATTGATGATCAGATTTGACTTTGAATTGAATAAAAAAGTAGTTCAGACTGTGGAAGCCTGTTTCTGCCACTGGATAAAAAATAAATAAAAAAAGGTAATTGCGACTTTTTAACTCACAATTCAGAATTGTGAGATATAAACTTTATAATTAAGACTTTTTTTTTATAGTTTTTCTTTTTTGAGTTTATAACACACGATTCTGAGTTTACATCTTGCAATTCTGACTTTTTTCTGTATTGTGATTTTTTTTTTTCCTCACCGGGAAAATTTTTATCTCAAAATTCAGACTTTTCTCGCAATTCAGAATTGCAAGATATAAACTCAGAATTGCAAATTTATATCTCACAATTCTGTATTGGGAGAAAAAATTCTGAAATGTGAAATAAAAATTCAGAATTGCGAAATATGAACTCACAATTCTGAGAAAAAAAAGTAATAATCACAACTTCACAAGTTATCAATTCAGAATTCTGACTTTTCTCACTATTGACCCTTTGTTGGGAGTTTGATTGACAGGCGATCCGACCAATCATCTGCCGAATCTAGAGTAGATTAACGTTGGTGGACTTGAACTTGAAAAATGGTGTGTATTTACATCTTTCCACGGCTGAAACAAGATTACCTTCTGATGTTCATTCATGTTTATTTCGTGCTATAAGTAGTTAAGAGGAAGAGATGATCGGTTCACGATCCACTTGAACTGAGGTGATCTGTCACGACACATTAAAGAGCCACAAAACAGTATTTGTTTGAATTCCTTTAAAAAAAAGGCAACATTTGAAAGCTGAGACTTTGCTCAGCGATGTATTTTTCACTGCATGAGAACATGATGTGTGGCGTGAGAGTGCCATGGCTTGTTGTCGGACGTAGCAACAGTAACTAAGGGGGGCGGGTCAACTGTGAAACATAAACTCAGAATTGTGAGAAAAAAAACTGAATTAAAAAGTTGCAATTGCCTTTATAATTTCTTATCCCATGGCAGACACATGTAGCTTGAATGCATATAAGCATCTCAGTGAGAGTATGACCTTTCTAGTTCATCTTTATCGATATAGCTTGCATTTGGCATATATCACTGCATTTTCACAGTCCTTCAGTCAACTTTGGCACTGACTAGCTTGTATGCTGCGCTCCGTCCCTGCAAAAATTTTGCCCAGTTCTCCCCATGGAACCTCCCTATTTTTAAGCAGCCTACTTCTTATAATAAGCCTCTCTTAGGTCTGTGACGCACCAGAAGTTTGCACAAAATCCACATAACAACTTTCTTGCTTTAAAGTTGCGAGTTTCCAGCTGAGGTACAAAGCAGCCAAGAAGGATTTTGAGGGAATTGTTTCTTTGTGGCTTTTTATCTGGTTGGTGTTTGCTGTGCAGACTCTACTTTTGTCTTTGCGTCTTGAACTTGGATACTTGAGGATCTTCTAACTCGTGCACAATTATGTGGATCGAGTGTGGATTGAGTAACTCATGCTGACCTGCCTTAGATTTCCAGTGGGACGGTATCTATTTTCTCACTCGCTCTCTGTTCCTGCTCCTCTCTTTCGTTCTATTCTCTCTCTTCACATCTGAAGCAGCTGCGACTTTGGCTCTCATTTGCAGTTGAAGGCATCTGGTCTACAGTTCTGGATGTAGACTCCTTTTTAACGTTAAACTCCCCAAGGCAACCCAGCACGGAGATGTGGAGATCTTGCCAAAGTTGACTCGATGATGACGTGACCTGAAGTTTCCTTCTTCATCCATGCAACGTCATCGCTCCTCAAGTTGCCGCTAATAAGCATCTCCTCATCTGGAGATAATGGCTTTTCCGATTATCCTGTTCTATTCACTGAATGGTTATTCCAGCTGTATGAAGACTCCTGCACTAAGATCAAGAACATTTCATTTCGTTTGAGACATATCTTAATTTAAAGGAGAGATGGGGCGTGACAGGGGTTTCTCCAAGCGTTTTCGGTAAGAAAAACCTTCTAGGATCAAACAGAAGCTAGTTTCAGAAATTAAGGTTTGATCAAATTTCTAGGGAAATTGTAACTCTTTATAATTTATACAGTTTCATGCAATATTGGACTATAGATACGGAGCAAATAGAAAAGACATTAAAGCTTTTAGACCTACTGTGAAATTCTTTCTATTTGTTTTTGTCATTTTACTTTAAAATCGTATTAAGTCCTCATTTGGCCTTGTTGTTTAGCTTGCTTTTTTAAAAATGAATTTTCTGTCATTTAAGACTTGTTAAGAGAATGTTAATCAGTTTGTAAATGCATGGCATGCTTTGTTAATGTGAGTAGAGGCATTCAAAGATGAACTAAAATAGGTTTAGAGATCACTTGCTTGTGTTAATAGACATCTTTTATATTTCAGATTGTTGAATACGTTCTTCATTCCCACTTTCATTCATTTTGAAAAGTGCGTTCCCTCCCCTCTCTGACTCGGGGTTAATTTTAGATTTCCTGTGACCTCCTTCTAATTGAGGGCATCCTGAACTAAATGAAAGTTAACTTTGAGAGAACTGTGGATTTACGTTGAATAAGGAAACTTTCGTGAATGAATTCACTGATAAGAGCACGCACTTGTAAAACTTCCACAGTGCAGTAGTACTTGAGTACACTATTGATTTGATCATATTTGATTTAAAATCTTACAGATATTAGTTTTAGGTTAGTATTAGTTTTGTTTATTTTTTGGATTGTAATGTCTCAGTACTACTGCTGGGCCCTGAGCTCTTCAGATGCAAGAAAACCAGCATAAGTTGTGTATAGAATGGCTGAAATGTTTGTATTTACAATTGCAATTACAACTGTGAAAATTGCAGGTTGTGATCTAAGCTTCACCTCAGTATGGTGTTGTGATTAGATGCATTAAAGGGATAATTCAGTGGTTCTCAAAAGTTTGGTCATGACTCAAAAACAGGGTGCTGCTCTGTTCTGATCAGACAATGCTAAAAAAAATAACAATGCTAAATGCAAATAATAAAATGCAACTAACAATATTATGCACAATTATAGACCTTATGTAGGCCTGCCCCTTTTCAGTGCTCTTCTGTCTTCCGTTTGTATTTCCACTGCATGAAGGTAAGGTCGTACGATTTTATGAATGAACCGCTCGTTTTAAAATGTTCCCGGTCTACTGACATTTGTTATGATATCCGTTTCAAATATAACAATGCTCATGATAACTTTCATTAACTCTACAATAAGTAAATCCACTTCACCAGCTAATTATTCTTCAATAGTGATGCTGCAGAGCTACTGCAAAAACGGAAGTTCAAAGACAAAATTCTAAAGATGGCTGCGCACTTGTTTCTCTGACGCATAAGGTCTATAGAATGGCTAAATAAACACCCTTATCCACTTTTACAGAAGACAAAATTTTAATATCTTTTGTTGTTGATGTCTCTGGATTATTGTTATTAAAATATATTTATAATATTTATGTTTTGTATAATATTTATTGTTATTGTTCGGTCTATGCTCTTTATGACAATATTAGTCAATTTTAATGTTTTATTTTGAGGACCTTTTTGTTTTTGCACAGTACACAATTTTGATACTGTGTTGGCTCGCCACTTGTTGTCCAAAGATCTGTGTTCTGAAGCAAAAGCAGTTCTTAAGCAGTGTTTGAGATGATTGCAGCTGGGAGATTAACCCAGAACTGAGCTGCTTCTGAGCTGTGCTTCCCCTCCTGATGCTGTGTGTTGCGACATTGTCCTTCATGATGCATGGGTTTATTTCTTTTTATGGGATAACCTAATTTTCGAGTCAAAATAGTATAATGGGTAATATATATTAATTTGGTTATATATGATACATTTAATTGTTTTTTTTAATACTTTTACACTATATACTGATGACATTGATAGGCAGCATGCAAAACATGTATTATGTTTGGTCAAATTGTAATCTCACAATAGCTGTCAAGAATTGATCAGGTCATATTTTAGAAGAAAATTAAGATGTTTATAACTTTGGATTTGGTTTTAAAGGAAGGTGAGAATTAAAAATTTAGAGAGGGCTTATTTCACAAAGGGCTAAAAAGCACTCTCTCTTTCACTTTAACCATTCATCCTCTCAGGACTTCAAAATGCCCATCAGACATCTTTTAGAAGTCACCTGCTTACCTGCTTAGCTTTTGAAGTTGATCAAACAGAATATTTTTACCCACCATTCTTCACAGGACAGAAAACAAACGCTTCATTGCATCACATGAGCTCTTTTTTTCTTTCATAGCAGGTCACAAACATCTCCGTAATCTGGTGTAATTATAGCAGACTTTCTCATAGCCGTCCCTCCTCCTCCATTTGCCTGTGTGTCTCCATTCAGTGTTTCTCTCAGCAGGCATGAGAGTATGTTCACACGCCTGAACAGTTTCTCCTCTGTGACTCCATCTGCTGTGTGTGTGCCATGTTTGTCAGGATCTTCATCCCTAAGAAGCACCGGCAGCGCTTTGATGAGATGGTCTCTCAGAGTTTGATCAGTCGCTTGAGGGGCCGAAGCTTCAGCGAGCACAGGAACAATCGCCTACGGCGCAGCCGGAGCGAAGACCACCCCGAACGGCTGCTGTCTGTGTCCACTCGAGCCAGCTCTGTGCCCCGGACCGCCAATGAAGAAGTGGTCATGCCTCCTGCCCGTGGCCTCCGCAAGACCACCTCACTCATCGCAGGCCATTCCAGTTCCTTCTCTACACGCAGGTCAGTGGAAGTGTCACACTGGGAACAGCTGCACATTTTTCTTTTCTTTTCTGTTTTTTTTCTCTTTTTTTGCATTGGCATTTGAATTTGTATTTGTTACTTATGTGGTAGAATTTTTACTTAATTCGTTTTACTTCATTTGTTTTTGTTACTTAATTAGATTCATATAAATATAATGATGGGTGATGGATAGCTAGATTAATTCATAAATTCATACATAAATTGATTAACTGATGCATTGATTTAAAGAAATTCATCCCTTCTTGTTGGATTTCCAATTTCACAGTTATTGTAGGCTGTAAATGATGTAGATTTTATGCCACTGTAATATTTCACTCTTATAATTCATGTTATTTTTAGACATGCTGTTGGACACTTGTGTATGTGTGAGCGTAAATATGACACATCATTAAGATTCATCCTCCTCATTATAGCCTATATTATGCTTTAAACATTACTACTCTTGTGTACAGTATTTCACAAGCATGAATTAATTCTCTGTTAAGCTAGTGCCCGATGCATAAATAGGAAAAGGTGGGAGGATGTGAAAACTTGTCAATCATTAGTACAATACACACTTAATGATATGTCTCCAGCAATGCAGGTGTCGTTTCTTTTTAATAATGTGGAAAACTGAAAGTGTGGCTTTATTGGACTCAAGAATTGCTAGCTATTTGCATAATGACCGCATATACACATAGATATTCATTGAGCCACAGAGAGAAAGGTAATGAAGTCTGTGGAAGAAGAGCTCTTTATAATCAGTAACAGGATCTGACTGTATTATGGATGACTGTAGTGGAAGACATTCAGAGCTTGTCTGACTGTATCTATTAATAACACAAACTATAGAGAACACAACAAACAGTATTGATTATATAATATCTGTGACATTTGAGATAAAAAGTGGCAGAACACGTTTTGTCACTGTTCAGTAAAATTACACTCTTGTACTATGACAAAAAACATGCATTATGCCACATTTTTAATTTCTATGGATACTATATACATGTATGTAAATCTATTATATCTATATCATATAGATATTTTCCAATAATATAAAATGAATATTAGTTTAATAAACAACTATATTAGTTAATCTGCATTATATAAAGATTCAAGATGTTCTGCTTGACATCTATAGGTTGTATTCATGTTTCACTAGGACAGTACGGGTGTACAAAGGGAACCAAAGTTTCGGGTTTACTCTGCGTGGCCATGCTCCAGTGTGGATCGACTCTGTAATACCAGGTATGAAATTATCCAAAATTTTATTTATAATATTGTTATAACTTAAGTGTCTTATTTTGATGTTGAAACATTTAATATTTAATTAAGATTAAACACAACAACATTATTCTCTTAGTATTTTCAAACATTGTCTTTTGTTTTCATGAGGGAAGGGCTCGTGTCTTGTGGCACATTTATTTTATTTTAACAAAAAAAAAATGCTATTTTAGAAAGATGAAAAAATATATTTTGGACTTGAAACAAGTGAAGTCAGTTATCAGACATATTACTAAAGCAGATGACGTGAATGCTGAAATCATAAAAGTTCTGTCATTTCTGACTCATGGCGGCCATTAAAAAGTTAGGCGACAGAAACTGGCAGTGTGCAAGAACAGCAGGAGACGAAAGAGAGAGAGAGAGAGAGAAACAACAACACACAACAGAAGACTCTTCACAAGCTGAGTAAGAGGGGCACAGGTGGTAGAGCTCTGTTTTTATCTAGCACAAATCCTTTTAGATTCACACTTTTCCCACATCTAGCCCTCAAAATCCAAAAACAGACATCCATTCTTGGGCAGGATGTGACAAACACCCAATCTTGACTACAGATCTCACGTCATTTCAAAGGGCATTTCATGAGCACAGCTTATTCTCAGTCCATATGAGCCCATATGATGTGCTGTCAGTAGTTATTTCTGCTTGGTTTGTTGCCATTCCTCCTTCAGGGAGCCCTGCTGAGAAGGCGGGTCTCAAACCTGGAGATCGCATCCTGTTTCTCAATGGGTTGGACATGAGGTGAGGCTTGTGGTTGGGTTGCATTGGAATACATTGCTTTTAACCTAATGTGGAACTGAAATAAAGTCTAAAGCAGGCATTACTATTATTATGCATATGATGGGTTCTTCATGTTCATAATCATAATCATAATCTATATGCTTCGTATTTTTGTACATTCTCTCAGGAGCTGTTCACATGAGAAGGTTGTGTCCATGCTTCAGGGGAGTGGGGCAATGCCCAGCCTGGTGGTTGAAGACGGCTTGCCGGCCTTCACCGTGACCGAACCCGAACTGTTGGAGGTTTCTCCCCGCTCCCGTGCTCCTGTGCTAAGCTCCCTGCAGTGGGTCGCAGAGATCTTGCCTCCCAGTATCCGCGTACAAGGTCGCACCTTCAGCCAGCAGCTTGAGCACCTTCTCACACTCCAAGAGAGATACACCATCTGCAAGGCCCTGGAGGCCTTCTTCCAGCACAGGTGAAGGACATACCATTAATATTTTAGTGAAAGAAAGAAAGAAAGAAAGACAGAAAGAAGATGGAAGTAGAAGAAGTAGATGGAAATGTTTCCATTGCTTCTCTGAGAAAAAAGAAAGTTCATTCCTGAACTTTGTGTGAAACCTGATTTGATTCCTTTTTCTTCCGCGCCTTTTAGAAATGTAGACACTTTGATTGTGGATATCTTCCCTGTGTTGGATACCCCAGCAAAACAGGTGATTTGGCAGTTTATTTACCAGCTGCTGACCTACGAGGAGCAGGAACACTGCCAGAACAAGATCTCCCGCTTCCTTGGCTATAAAGTTACACGTGAGCCCTACTTTGTCTTGTCGTTCCTCTTCAATCTGTATAGAATATAAGTACATACATATGTATGCTTGCATGTATTTATTTTTGGTAGTGCCAACAGCAGAACCTGAACCTCCAGCCCATGAGCCTCATAGGCGCAGCAGCTCCATGAAGGTGACGGGGACAACCTACAGGAGCAGTATGAGGGGACGCAGCTCAGATGATCTGGTCATCGGCACTCACCTGGGCATGGGTAAGCTATCTTCAAACACTATGTTGTATTACACATTATAACATAGGACAGCGATTTTCAATTTTTTGATGCCATTGATATCTTACTGTTATAAAACTAGGGCTGTCTATAGTCAAAAAAGTGGTGATCTCATAATTTCCGACTAGCCTCACAAAGTGTGTTTAAAAAAATAACTGTTAAACATTTTAACTTTGACAGACCTCATACATTTAGCAAAATTCTCATTTTCTACCAGCCACCTAGCACCAGGAGGTCTGCAGACTCCAGTTGGCATGCGGGCATACTTTGACATACACATATTTAGTTACCTATATATGTAGTGAAATTGTATCAACTTTCACAACTAGTATTATGTATCATGAAAACAGCATTGTAGACATTATTGTAGCATTGTTGGCATCATGTACCATCATTAAAAACGGCAGCTTTCTTAGCAAATTGAAATGAGTTGATGTGCTATTTTCTTACTTCATGAGGGATTTGCACTGAGCCAGTGGAGTTGGCACCTATGCGACTGACTCCTGGAGAGAGGCAATCAGGGGATGGAACATCCTTACCAGAGACGCCCAACAATCTGACTAATGTGAGCGCTCTTCTTTGATTTTTACGGGTTTACAAACATTGAAATGATTGAGCAAGTACACTGTCTTTATATTAATATCACAGTCCCTGTGCTCTATCTAGCTGTCAGCTGTGTATGCTGAGCTGGAGAATGTCTATGCCGGGAAGAGATCCAAATCCCTAAAGACTCGACCTCCTCCAGCTCCTGAAACTCTGGTTAACGTAGACATCTTCCCGCACGCTTCCTCACAGTCCATCAGGGCACACTCTTCCTCTCCATCTGTTCGGGCCACTTCAGGTACAGTCAGTGTACTTATACGTTTTTTTATTGGCATTGTGGCTTGTGAATTCTAGAAAGTCCTTGTAGTTTCTTTGTGTAATAGGTGGGAATTTCATCTGAGGCAGAATCTAATGTCAGAGACATTTTATCTTCTTAACCTTTGTTTTTCCATCTTCATCTCTCAGGTAGCCGCAAATCAGCATCAGCGCAGTCTGTGCCACCACCTCCACCACCGCCACCACCTCCTCCACAACCTGACTCTTGGATGCAGGAGCCTTCACTGAGTCCCCAGTGCCTCTGTTACCCTCCAGGTCTTCCCTCTCAAACCAGTGCTGAGTCCAACCCATACATCAGTTTAGACAGTCCACCTCTCTCTCCACCCTCTCCTCCGGACTACCCCCCTAGTCCACCCATTCGGAAGAAGCGCTACACCTTCTCACGTCCCCCCCGTACCCCTGACACAGATTTGTTTATGGAGGTTCTGAGCGAACAGCTAGGACAGCAGTTATCTGTGGATGACTTCCTGTCACCAGAGAATGACTATGAAGAGGTTTGTATATTAGAATGGTTAATTGACTTGATATATTGCTTTTATTGTTTTGACAATGCTTCATTGGCTTGACAAGTACAGTGGCTAATCTTCAATGGACTATTGCAAAAACTCAATGATATTTGTATATTTTACTTCAAAATAACTCCAGGATGTTGTCCAGATGACATTCCAGAATGAGGAAGAGGAGGTAGAGGAGGAACTGCTGGATTCACTCCTGACCATGCACCCCGACAGTTGACCTTCCGTCGCCACCCGGGACCTCCTCCGCCACCTCCGCCAAGAGCTAACCCCCCTCCAAAAAGACAATCCATTCACAAGGTGTTGCCCACACGTGATGAGCTGATGACCCAAGTCCTTCAGGAGCACCACTCGCTTCCTGTTCAGCCAATAACCAGCCACCCTCAGCAATCTCAGCAGCAGATGCATCAGTCTCTGCCCCCTATGCCCTCTCCAGAAATAGACCAGTCACCCATCCCCAGTCATGCAATCTACGAAATGCACCATCAGGTTCATCCAGCTCACCAGGTTCATCAACACCACCAGGTGCAACAGGATCACCAGATGCATCCAATCCATCAAAATAAACCAAGTCGCCAGTCTCAGTCTATCAAAGTGCACCAAAGCCATCACTCACACCAGACTATTCAGACTCAACTCTCTAGCTCCATGGATAGGCTTGATAGGATTGAAAGAAAGGAACTCTCGGATAGACATATCTATGACATGCAGCCCCAACCCTTGCATCCAGATCAACAAGTACACCATGCTTATCAGATGCATCAGAGTCATCAGGCTCACCTCTCAAGCTCCATGGATAGACTTGACCGATTGGAGCAGATCCAGCGTTTGGAACGCTTGGAGCATATGGAACGAATCGAGAGACTGGAGAGGGCGGACAGACAAATGCACCGGACACACATGGCTCAAGCTATTCAACCATCTCAGCAGACTCAGCAACAGTACCACCACCAGATGCATCAAGCTCATCAAGCCTACCCACTGATCCAGTCGCCTCCGCCAACCCGCCACATTCATCAGATTGAACATATACACCAGGTTCAGCCAATCCAGTCAGCTCCTCAGTACCACCAGATCCACCAGCCCCACCAACCTCACCAGACCCAACAGATTCTGTCAACTTTCCAGCCTCATCCTTCACAACAGCAGCAACAGCAGATGCAGCAGCAACAACAACTTCAGCAGCAGCAACAACTTCAACAACAGCTTCTGCAGCAGCAACAGCTTCAGCAACAGCAGATTCAGCAGCAGCAAGCTCAGCAGCAACAGCAGATTCAGCAGCAGCAACAACATCGCTCAACCCCACAGATTCCCCCCATTGCACAGGCCAGACAGAGCCCGCAACCCATGTACCACGATCTTCGTCACCACCATCACTATCACAGCCACCATGAGGCCCAGTCCCAAACGCAATCACCAAGTACACCCCAACCTCAAACTCACCACCCCAATGAAGGTTCCACTGTGGAGCCACCTCCTCCTCCACCTTTACCCCCACCTTGCATGCCTCCTCCGCTCCCAAAGGCCTCACCACAAAAATCAGATTCCAGTCATATGAGTGTAAAGCGGTTACGATGGGAACAAGTGGAAAATTCTGAGGGAACCATTTGGGGACAGGTAAGAAGTTTCAGCATGATAAGCTGAGTGTTTGTGTGAAATGCCTTTGTCTTAAATGGCTGGCTGACTCAATAAATCTTGATGATGTTTTGCATCAGTTTTAGCTAAAGAAGATTGTGACGGCTCTCAGCCCCACCCCACACGTCACAGAGATCTAAATCTCGTAGTCACTTATATTTGCAATTTCAAACAGATGGCACTGCATGAGCCAAACTGACAATGCTAAATTCTCCAGTAATAGTTGGAGGAGACCATGAAAAAAAGTAGTATACTATATGAGACATATATTGGTCTATTGTAATGATGGAACATTTCAGGATGTCCATCATTATTAGTTTGTCTCAGTCCATTAGAACGAACAATATAAGGACAGATGTGTTTTCTCACTGCAGTTGGAAGAAGACTCTGATTATGACAAGCTAAGTGACATGGTGAAATACCTAGACTTGGAGCTTCATTTTGGGACACAAAAAAGCCCTGGTGAGTAAAATGTGAGAAAAGTAATATGTATAAATCATTTCCAAGGGAACAAATAAACTGTTCACCAGTTGAGAGGGGAGTTGCTTTCTATATCTTTCAAAGAAAAAGATACAGTGTGGCCCATAGGGTGAGCGTGATTTGACCAAGTACAACATGTTCCTGGATCAACATCCTTGTTGATCCTGGAACATCATTCCAATCAACCAAACAGAATTTAGAGATAACTTTTCAGGAAATGTCAGTTTTAGGCTGACAATCAGGATTAGGTGCTTCTACACCCTTGTTAATCAGCTATCATTTCCCTCTGATTTTAGGAATAAATGATGGGTAAGGTTAGGTTTAGGGGTGGGGATTGGGTTAAGTTTGCATTTTTGGACAGTAATGTTGATCCAGGATCAACAAAAGATGTTGATCCAGGAACATGTCTTACTTGGCAAAATCACGGCGACCTGGTCCATAGGTAGAATGTGGCAGAATTGTTGATTGTAGAATGTACTGAACTCAATTTCTGTGTCTTCTAATACTTAAAAGCACCGTGAAGTCCATCATTTAAAGTGAGGAAATGAGGAACACCTGTGAATCTGCTTAGAACTGGTTGTCCTCCAAATCGGAGTATTCAGACAAGAAGTGCCATAGTAAAAGAGGACACCAAGATGCCTACGGCAGCTCTGAAGGAGTCAACTGAGACAACAATAGCCTGCACATTTAATAAATTTAGCTCAAACTAAAGGGTTGCAAGAAGAAAGTTGGGGGGAAACTCTTACCTTGAGATAACATCTTTGTAGCACATCTTGTGGAAGACAAACAAGATATAGAGGAAGATTCTATGGTCTTATAAGATGGCCAATCACCACAATAGTGATTGGCAGTGGAAAACCTCTTCCCAGACTTTCTGATTGCAGTTTGTCTATTTATAATGGTGATAGCATAATGTTATTGGTCATAACAAAGATTTAATTCCAAATGTTGGCTGTACAAATTATTTTTGTTTACTTTGGATGAAGAATGATGATAAAGCTTGCCAGAAAGCACTACTCCAGTAGTCTCACATAGCCAGAACTTCAAACTGACGCCAGAAGGTCTGGACTCCATAGCAGCTTTCATTGGCCAAGGACCGCACAAGAAGACTTCTGACAGATATGTCAAGCAATGAATCACAGTTCGTTTTGTTCAGCGTCACATTTAGGGGAGTGAAAATGTAAAGTCTATGTCCCTACAGTAACAGACCGGTGTTCAATTGATGCAAGAATGTCATGCAAGTTTATTGCAACAATGTTGCCGTGAACTTAACATAAGTTTGAAAATCCAGCATTTAGTTGATCCCGATAAGCGATCATTGTCGCAGTTATAATCTCAACGGCTTTCTGATTCCATTAGGGGGTTTGGCATCACAACTGCTATGTTTCCAGGTGGACCGTTAAAGAACGCCTACCAGAAGTCCTGTAGAATTCAACCAATCAGATGACAACTTCAGAACTTGAAGTTTTAATTTTTTTGTGTGCTATATGTATCCGACGTTCAGCCAACAGTCCGTGGGCGTTACGTCTGAGGCTGAGCCTACTATTCCAGTATATGAGGAGGCAGGCTTGTGTGACACAACTACTTTTTCCTGTCACTTCCAACAAAAATCACTTACAAGCTCATATGTAAGAACTTCCCTGGAGGACTTTAAGGCAGCATTGGACCTGACTATCCTTTAATCATTTGACACAATGTTTTCCATCACAAGTTCTTTTCACTCACGCTATGATTCCTGTCTCAGTTTCTCTTCCAGAGCCCTCACCTCAGGTGGAGACTTTCAAGAAGAAAGATGTGGTGGAGATTCTCTCCCATAAGAAAGCCTACAATGCTTGTGAGTAGCAAACAATGCTTCATATATTTTTCTAGTTAAATGTCCTTTTTGGAAATACATTGCATTACGAAAGTGTAATGGGCTGTAAATGGTAATTTGTGCTCTTGTAAGAGTTCAGTGGAGTTTACCTGTAAATGTTTAGATGATGTTTATGTAGATGTAGATGATGTGTGCTTCCCAGTCAAGTATTAACTTATACATGTGTCCTTCTTTTGTCTTGCTCTGCTACCGTGCTTTTTTGGTTTTTAAATTAGACATGATAATAGCATGCTCCTTTGGCTAACTGTCCTAGCTGTTAGACTACAAGCTTCTTAGCTTTTAGCCATTAGCCTATAAGCACACCCTTGTACACTTTGTTATTAAGACTCTTTTACCATTTTTTATAGCAATTTTGATTGCCCATCTGAAGCTGTCACCAAGCGAGCTACTCCAGGTGCTGATGACGATGTCGAGTGAACGTTTAGAGTCATCACATATTAAACAATTGCTCCTATATGCACCAGACGATGATGAGGTTAGACAATACGAGCAGTACAGAGACGACCCAAGCAAACTCAGTGAGCCCGATCAGTTTGTCCTACAGGTACATGACAAATAATGACAGAGTTTCATGAATAAATTATGATTATTTTGATTTAGCAAGTTTTCTGGGGGTTGCATTTGATATTATGATTAAATGTAAAGTTGGATTTTTTTATTATTTATTTTTTATTGAATTTAATTTTAGTATAATTCTAACAATATATGTGCTTTTGTATATTGTATATATATTGTATAAATAGTATGTATTTTGTGTATATTGTATATATTCAGATGCTATTTGTGCCAGAGTATAAGACCCGTTTGAAAAGCCTGCATTTTAAGACTATGTTGCAAGAGAAAACAGAGGAGATGAGGGGGGCCTACGACTGTGTTTTCAAGGCTTCATTGGATCTCAAGAACAGCAAAAAATTGGCCAAGATTCTGGAGGTATAATTCCTTCATTTCCACCAAGTCATTTAGTTTCTACCCAGGCACACATAATCATAAAGTCTTGAAAACAAACACACAAAGAAATTCTTTCACAGATAAAGGACTGTTGATGTGGCAGGCTGAAATATACTATGCCAGTGCACACTTTGGATAAATATGATCTTCCTTTCATGGCATGTATATTAATTTCCTTATTTTTTTTCCAGTTTGTTCTGGCTATGGGGAATTATCTGAATAACGGCCAACCCAAGACCAATAAAACGACTGGATTTAAGATCAATTTTCTCACTGAAGTAAGCCTCGTCACTGTGTATGCATCTTTTGCAGATGAGTTCATGGGGTTGATCGATAATTTGTGTAAAGTGTATTTTCTATATAGATAGCATTTATTTTTAACATTATATAAATGTAATTCTACATTTTCCTGGTTGAAGCTTAGCACCACCAAAACAGTGGATGGAAAGTCAACATTTCTGCATATCCTGGTGAAATCATTGTGCCAGCATTTTCCCGAGGTTCTGGACTTTGGGAAGGAGCTTGAGACGGTACCACAAGCAGCCAAAGGTGAAGAACTACTTGAGTGCCCAGACTCATATGCAGTCCGAATTTCAGTGATGTCTCATAGTCCGAGACTATAGACTCTCTCAAACACTAATTTACACAATCCATGGTGCTCCTCATCAAGTTTTGTCCAAAATGTGGAGCAGCATTCCCATTTAATGTTGTTTTTTTGTTTCCATAAAAGGTTCTGCAGAGGTCAGATCTCTCTCATATTTTTCATTGCTTTGGTCTCCACAGTGAATCAGAGAAACATCACTTCTGACTTCAACGACTTACATGCCACAATCCAGGACATTCGTTTAGCCTGCCAGAAGATGCCAGCCACTGCTGAGGACCGATTTGCCATTGTTATGAGTGTATCCTCCCACTAAAACATCCAAATTGACTATATATGATCTTAGCATGTCTTCTACAAGGTTTCACTGTGCCATATTTGCAACTGTAAGACTTTTCCAAGCAGATCCAGCTCAGATACCCATCAGGACAAGATTATATGAACATTTCAACCATTGAATATACTTGATAGCTGCCAAATTCATAACAAACCACCTTAACTACTTGCATGTAGGGGTTTCTGGAAAACAGTCACCCTGCAGTGCAGTCTCTGGAGTCTCTGCAGCAGCGGGCAATGGAAGAGTTCTGCAAAGTCGCATCATTCTTCGGTGAGGATGGAAAGGCCACCACCACAGAGAGTTTCTTCGGTATCTTTGCCGAGTTCATGACTAAATTTGAGGTAGGTTTTGTATTAGACGACTTGATGGGTATTTTCATGAAAATCTAGTAAATGAGGTGAATGCTAGTAGAGAAATATATTGAGGCTTTTAACACAGACAGGTGGCAAAAAATAGGTCACTCTTCCTTCCCAGCTCTCTTGAGGGCTGTTTTTATGCACATTCTGCTCCCTTACAACACAACTAGTTAACAGACATTAACAATGTATATTACAAAAAGCAACACTGAATGAACACTGCTAAATCAAAAGAAATGAAAGTTGCACTATGCACAATAAAGAAAGGCATGCATTTCATTGTGGAATAGATGTACGACTGATATTCATTGAATACTAGCTGATATTTAATTTTTTTCATTTAATAATCAAAATTATTAGACTTTGATATATGCTGTGTACACTCTTAAAATTAAAGGTTATTTATTTGCATCAATGTTTCCATGAAGAACATTTAAAGCTGCATTACGTAAGTTTTGCCTCTTTGTCGCCATCTCTGCTTGAAACCTGCAATTGTAGTTATTTGCAAAATTATCTTCTTTACATGGGTTGTGTAATCAGCACGGCTCCTCAGCGCGGATGAATCTAATGTTTTGAGGTGTATGTAATAATATATAATTAATTTAAAAAAATAATTTATGCATTTAGCAGACGCTTTTATCCAAAGCGACTTACAGTGCATTCAGGCTATACATTTTTTACCAGTATGTGTGGGCTTTCAGTCAACCAAAGACTATAGAATACCCAAGACATGTCACTCGTATAGTTTTGAATGGGGGAAAAATGCAATGCTCAATATGGCCGCTCAATCGAAGGGAGCCCCGCCTTCTGAGTAAAAGAGCCAATCACTAATCGGTAAAGTCAGCGCATCACTGCAGCTGCAGTTAGAAGTCCTGGTTGCTATAGAAACATTCAGAGTTCTGAGATGCGGGCTTAGGACTGCTCATGCGCACTGGCTGGTCTAGCCTGAAAAATATGCTTTTTTTTAACGCTATAACACAAACGCAAAATACATTTATGAGACAGTTGTTGTCAGATTTCATTGGTGATTTCAAATATGAAATTTAATCGTAAGCTTGACGAACAGTTTTGGAGAATTTGATGTTTCCCCATTCAAAGAGATAGGAGCTGCACTTGCATGCCGAGAGGCATGTCAAAGATGGCCGCCGAGTGACATGACTTGCCTTAAAGGGACTTTAAGTCAACGCATCAGTGTCGATAATCACTGTACTTCAGAATTACAGATGTTGATGCAGAAATGCATCTTCGGGTGCATCCGTCCCCGAGATTGGTTTGCAGCGATCGACCTGAAGGACGCGTACTTTCATGTGTCGATCCTTCCGCACCACAGACCATTTCTGCGGTTCGCATTCGAGGGACGTGCATATCAGTACAAGGTCCTGCCCTTCGGGCTGTCCCTGGCGAGCACAGGGACCTGGTGCTCCGGCACCTCAGCCAGTTGGGTCTTCGGGTCAGCTGGGAAAAGAGCAAACTCTCCCCGGTGCAGAGGATCTCTTTTCTCGGTATGGAGTTAGATTCGGTCGAACAGACAGCATGCCTCACAGAGGAACGTGCACGGTCGGTGCTGAATTGCTTGAATTCATTCAAAGGCAGGACAGCGGTCTCACTGAAACAATTTCAGAGGCTCCTGGGGCATATGGCAGCTGCAGCGGCAGTTACACCGCTGGGGCTGCTTCATATGAGACCGCTTCAGCACTGGCTTCATGGCCGAGTCCCGAGGTGGGCGTGGCAGCGCGGCACTCACCGGGTCCAAGTTACACCGGCCTGTCGTCAAACCTTCACCCCGTGGTCAGACCTTGCGTTTCTCCGGGCAGGAGTGCCCCTAGAACAGGTCTCCAGGCATGCTGTGGTTTACACGGATGCCTCCACCACCGGCTGGGGGGCCACGTACAACGGGCAGTTTCGGGGGTGTGGACGGGCCCCCAACTGGCATATCAGTTGCCTAGAGTTGTTAGCGGTGTGCCTTGCCTTGAACCGTCTGAAAGGGTGCTTACGGGGCAAGCACGTGCTGGTCCGAACGGACAACACGGCGACCGTTGCATACATCAGCCGACAAGGTGGTCTACGCTCCCGTTGCATGTCGCAACTCGCCCACCACCTCCTCCTTTGGAGTCGGAAGGTTCTGAGGTCACTTCGTGCCATTCACATTCCGGGTCTGCTCAACCGTACGGCCGACTAGCTGTCACAAGCTACGCTCCTGGGAGAATGGAGTCTCCGGTCCAGCTGATTTGGAGACGTTTCAGAGCCGCTCAGGTAGACCTGTTTGCCTTTCCAGAAACCTCTCACTGGCAGTTGTTCTACTCCCTGACCGATGGAACACTCGGCACGGACGCACTGGCACACAGCTGGCCGCGGGGCCTGCGCAAGTATGAGGAGCAAGAGGAGCAGGTCCTGCCTGTGGCGCCGTATTGGCCCATTCGTACCTGGTTCCCCAAACTAATGCTCCTCGCAACAGCCCCTCCCTGGCAGATTCCTCTGAGGAAGGATCTACTGACTCAGAGACGGGGCACCCTGTGGTACCCGCATCCAGACCTCTGGAAACTTCATGTCTGGTCCCTGGACGAGACGCGGAGGCAAGTGGAACGGGTACGTTTTCCCAGTGTTATCCAATCTCACTGAGTGGGTAGTGCTACGACAACGGTGACTGGTCTTCTAGTTGCGAGCCCTGGCCTACACCAAAAAGGGGCGCAGGCGGCTCGCACAGGGCCCCGCATCCCTCGTCATCCATGGCGGTTACGTATGTAACCCTCGTTCCCTGAAGGAGGGAACGGAGACGTCACGTCCCGTCGCTACGGCAGCTGTACCACCGCTGAGCGGTCGGGTCACCGGCTCGGCTCCTCAGTGAAAACCTGGTATGCGTTGCATTGGCTGGCTTTTTATGCTCACGTTGTGATCAGTGTCGGTCACCGACGTGACATCTCCGTTCCCTCCTTCAGGGAACGAGGGTTACATACGTAACCAACGCGTTATTTTAAAGGAATAGTTCACCCAAAATGAAAATGTACTCACCCTCAGGCCATCCAATACGTAGATGATTTTGTTTCTTCATCAGAACAGATTTGGAGAAATGTAGCATTGGTGAGCAAGAAATGGGCAAGATCCTCTGCAGTGAATGGGTGCCGTCAGAATGAGGGTCCAAACAGCTGATAAAAACATAATAATAATCCACACGACTACAGTGCATCAATAAATGTCTTGTGAAGCGAAAAGCTGCATGTTTGTAAGAAACAAATCCATCATTAGGTGTTTTAACGTTAAACCGTCCTTTCTGACCAAAAATACAAATTCACTACTGAAGATCCATTGTTGACCAAGTGATGTAATGCTAAATATTTCCAAGATTATATCCAAATTGAATCACTTCACTGAAAGGTTCTTTAGGAAACCCAAAATGGTTTTTTAGTTTCATTGTTATGATAACCCTCTTTTGGAACCTTTATTTTTAAGAGTGACCATGGTTTAAATGCAGTTTAAAGGTGTTATTTATGTATTTCAATATGTTTGTTGTGTGCTGCTGTATTTAGAGGGCTTTGAGTGATATCCAGACTACAGAAAACCCTCAACGCAGCCCCAGGAGCGCTCGCACGACCTCTCCTGTAGCCTGGTGAAGAAACCACCCAACATGAGGCAAACATACCCATACAAACAAATACATACAGACTTACAGTACATAAATGTTCACTTACATACTGTCCACTCCTATGCCTGTCCAGTCTAAATTTAGTAATAGCCTTATGGTAATTCAAGGACATGTGTACAGTAGCAAACTAATGCACAAGCACCAGGGTCCTGGCGAGTTATAAAGGTGAACTCTCAGGCACAGATTGGACAGGAAAGCGTCTGTAGTAGAGCAAAAGGTACAGGGAAAGATTATAAATTGCTTTAAAACATTTGATCAGATTTGGTCTAGGACATTATTTACAGGATGGACTGTGTGATTGTTCTTGGCACTCAAAAACCAGGAATGGAGTCAAAAGTTGGGGCAAAATTGATTGGGGATTTTGTAAATCATAATAAGTGCAGTTCGATAAGATATTTAATGTAGAATGTAATTAGGACTGTGAATGTCAGATCTTGACTGACTTGATATTTTAATGAAGTTGTTGTTTAGGAGAAGTGCTTTAACAATGTGTCTTAATTCTGCTTAAATGTATTTAAACAACCTGGGTTGGCGTTGTTAGTTGGTCATTGTACTGTAAACCAATATTTTGATGAATTAATGTCTTAAATGATAAACAGTGATTCCTCATACACAGAATGTATAAGTGCAAAGTGCATAGATGAAGCACTTTTCGTTATGTTAGTGTGCTTGTTGGTTTTATTTTTGATGGGTGTGAATGATATTTAATGTGCATATGTGAACATTAATGGGTATTAATTAGTATCACTAAGAATTAGAATTGACTAATGGACTACTACTAACAAATATATTTTTTAAATGTTCATATTATTTCTTGCAAACACCTTGATCAACTTTATATACTGAACTATATACTGCACAATACAAAGTTTAGATTTTTGTTTAGGTTGCTGTTATTGCACTTTTACTTGCCCATTTAAAGTAAAACTGACTAAATCAGTAAAATATATACATATGTTTTGTTATTTAGTATACATACTTGGGTATTAGTATGGGTAACTAGTATTAGCACTGACCGTTTGTGATTTTCAGGTTTAGGCTAAAGGTCAACACCTTTCACATTTTACAGTGATCATTTTTAGGCCTTGTTCTTTTTAAAACTAGTTTTAAACGTTTCTAAATTGCACTTTAGAAATGCAATCTTAACCAAACGTTTAATTCGGTATTATGATCAGTTACTTGAAAAGTCATGGAAATTCACTGGCCAAAAGTAGTGGGAAACCTTTATATTTTCAGATATTTTGAGGTGGAAGATAATACAAATGCTTTTACAATCTTCAGTACTAAAATAAATCTTTACACCTTAATGAAACCTGAAAAATATTTATCATGCAGGCTGCTGTAAGCACACTCTCAGAAAAAAAGGTACAAAAGCTGTCACTGGGGAAGTATCTTTTCAAAAGGTACACTTTTGTACCTTTTAGGTACTGATATGTACACTTTAGGTACTAATATGTACCTTTAAGGTACCAATATGGACTGTTTAGGTACAAAGGTGTGCCTTTTGAAAAGGTACCGCCCCAGTGACAGCTTTTGTACCTTTTTTTTCTGAGAGTGCATTTTTGCATATATTTCTCTCTTCTATAAAGAGTAAAATTGATTAAATGCAGTAAATCTTTGAGGAAATGTGGTTTTTGTATGGTTTCTTTATCAAATTTGGATTTGAAATCAGAAAATGCGAGTATAATGCCATTTCTGTTTTGAGTTTTTGCGAAACATCTTCCCAGTCGTCCTTTCTTAGGAGTTCATTTTAGTTTTACACTCCATAGGGAAACATTTGCCATTCCTCTGTAACTTATACCTAGTATCTCTGTGATTCTTGGAAAAGCATTTACATGCACATACAGGCTAGATAATGTATAATCAGTGAAGACATACAGTTACGTCTTCATATCATTACATTGAGTGTGTTTGTCAAAGTGTGTGGATGACAGCGATTTTCTACTGTCTGTTGTTTTAAAGTGACACATACCTGAGAAACTCCTCATGGCTGCCACCGAGCATCCCAATGTTTCCCCTTCCCCCACCGCAGAGGACACATCACGCCCGACCACCCTGGCCATCACAGATATAGTAGTGCTTGTCATCTACTTCCTCTTGGTTCTGGCAGTGGGCTTATGGGTAAGTTTACTGAAATCATAAAATTCACAGCTATATCTTGATGTGTTTCACAGTGACAAAATTCTCTATAATAACTGTCTGCATGCTTCAGGTTCTTGTTCTCTGTGTAATATCACACGCATCGTAGCTGAATTTTACTCCAGTAAATGTGCTACTTATCACATTTATGGCTTAACATCTTGTATATGGCATATTTATAACCTTTGCTCACTAACAGTCCATGTGGAAGACCAAGAGGAGCACAGTGGATGGATACTTCCTTGCTGGCAAAAACATGACTTGGTGGCCGGTAAGAGAGTAAATCTCACTCAAACCATAATGTATATTTGCATAAAGAAAATGAAGCCTATTTTTAAGACCATTGACATTTTTTGACATTATTTTCATTTCTGTAATACAAAAAAATATATGCATTACTGTGTTTACTTCCAAAAAATTATTGCATAAAGAAAATGAAGCCTATTTTTAGGACCATTAACATTTTCTGTCATTATTTTCATGACAATTAAGCACAGTTTCCCCACCGGTTCTTGTTAATATTTTGAATCAGATTTTACTTTTATATTTTCAGTTTTCATTTTCATTTTAGTTAGTTTTAGTCATTTTGTTGTGTTTTTTGTTGTGCATTTTTTTTTGTTTTTTTATAAATTTTTATTTACTCTATCTGTTTTAGTTTATTTAGTTTTAGTTATTTTAGTACTTCGTTTAAAGCTGCAGTCCGTAAGTTTTGCCTCTTTGTCGCCATCTCTGTTTGAAAACCTGGAATTGCAGCTGTGTGCGAAATTATCTAGCTTGCGTGGTTTGTGAGTCGGCGCGGCTCCAGCGCGGATGAATCGAATGTTCTGAAGAGTATGTGTGGCAGTCAGTCACCGCACCAGTGTGGATATT